GGTACAACATTACAGCTCAGGTACAACGTTAGATCAGGTACAATCATACATGTATAATTTTAAATCGGGTACAACATTAGACAAGGTACATTAGATCAAGTAGGTTTGATCAGTTACAACATTACATCAGGTCCAATGTTGGATGGCGCGAAAAATTGTGAAGTTCTAATTCTTGGAAACAAATGAGATACTGTACATCTAAAACAGAAATGGCAAAAACGTGATTTTTATGACTTTGACTGAAAACCTGCCAGATTTGAAAATAAAAGACCGTGAGAAAAAGTGCAGCTCAAATTTATTCATTTCCTTTCCAAATGTAACACTTTTTTTAAGTGAATACACTACATGTATATGTCAAATATTTATTTATGTCACGGGTGCCTATAATGATGCACAATGATCATATGAAGCAGGTCCAACTACCTAAATGGATCGCGTCTGAGGTCATTCAGGAAAACCAATCCAGGCGTGCCAGCTCTGCCCTGTCAGAGTGGCTACATGCCCACTTGCCTTTCTGAAATATCAAACTGAATGAACTAAGGGTAGGACGTTTACACATTTTTTTTTGGCAAACGATGCCTGCAAAATGTAATCTGATTTTCGGAACACTTTTCCCTTTCGGCATCCCTGTACTTTTTGAAAAAAAAAATGATTCTAAAACAATAAACACTGCGTGTTTTAAATGGCCTGACATCAACCTACATTTTTACGATTGTTGGACTATGTGCATTGTTGTATTTAATTATGCATAAACATGTACATGTATATGCATGAGAACACTGAGGTAGGCGGCGGCAACCTCTGTAAAGTGTTGGCTAAACATTTAAATGGGATGGAAAAGTTTTCTATACGTTTTTCAAATTAAACATAAATTCCCACCATTACTAATGTTTTGTTTACAGGATGGTCCCTATACATGTGATCTTAAGGAATTTATCCCAAGAAACAAGCTCTGAATTTCAGAAGACGAGAGGCCTACTGTCAAATTGTACAATTAAAACCTATAGACAGATGTAAACGATATCATCTGCAAATGCACTGTTCGCTCACTTCCTTTAATTGTGTAAACTTTAATGTGAAACTAGTGCGGGTACCAGTGAGTATATGTAGTCTGGTTAGTGGTCCCAGTATTACCGGTACCTTATACGCTGCAGGGACGGGAATGAGTCTGTTATACGAGTCCGAACATTGATCAAATTTCCTGGCAGCCTATGCACAAAACGTATCATGGGTACCACACAAAAATGACTAAAGGAGCAGAAATGTCTCGAGCACGTGCACGTACTATCAGCAGAAAGAGACAGCTCACGGCGAGTGTGATATGCAAATATATCACCCTGCCATGTGATCCTTCTGGGCCAATAAATGGTGGGCTTAGGTCAAAAATATCCACATGCTATTTTTGATTTTTTTCTCCCATATTCTCCGTTCATATTTAGTTATTTTATGAACTTTGTACCATGTTACTTGATTAAATATATCATAAAGAATTGATTTTTTTAAAAATTGTTTTGATGGGGTCTTTTCTCCACCCTTTATTTGCCATTGTAGACTCCTGCTTGTAATCCTACAAGTAAACGGTATCATTTTTTCAAATGGCAGTTTTGAGTGGTTGTTTTCTGCTGAATCCAATGAAACAGTTACACATATCATTTGGATTACAGCACTCAGTACTACAAAATACTAAGCAGCAGCCTGAGCCTGAAGGACCTAGTGCTACAGATTACTACTTCTGCTTAGGGCACCCTCCATTGTCACTAGTACAGAGAACAATAAAGCCATGCATTCATAGTGCCAGAGCACTGTATGGTACCTTATCTTATCTATTGTATTTTATGGCTTCAGAGAAAACAAGGTCATGTCTTCTTACAGGTGACAGCAATGAATAGTACATGTTACTATAGTATTCAGGGCTGTTAGGGTCAAGGCATTAAAAGGATCCCCAGGGTAATGGTCGGATCCCCCGTGCTCCCTTGAAAAAAAATTGTCCCTTATATAGAGGGGCATTCTCTCTTTCCGGGGACTGATTTTGTCCTTGAATAAAGGGACTTCCCCAAACACAAGGACAGTCTCCGAGTTGAGATGTGCGCCTCTACTCTCTACTGATTGTGTGTTAACTGATCACATTTGTCTGGGATACACTGTTTTTCCACGTGAGTCACAAATTTCAGGTAGGGGTGGTGTACAGTGTGGTTGCTCGTAGCTTGCTACTGTGTGGAATAAAAAAGGTTGGCAAGTACATGTCAAATGTAATTCTCATTTTACAAAGCTAACATCCATGATGGTATAAAATAGGCCCTCTTACATTGTAGATAGTCGCCAGGCCCCTGATTTCACCACTTACTGTGAAAACCAATCAAACTTTACAAAAAGTGTCAAATTAGGGACCTGGTGACTACCAATACCATCAAGGAGGTTCGGTCATGTATCACATGTTTGAATTTGAAAAACCATCAACTCTTTTGCCAAATTCCAAAAGATAGGCCTATGGCTCCATTGGAATGGACTTTTGACATGTTTGATGAACGATTTGATTGAGACTGCAACCTCAGATGATGGTAGGCATTACATACATGACATGTACATGTAGGCCTAGGACTCCATCCAGAATAGCTTAATTAATAATAGTGGGGTTTGTCATCCACAAGCATGGCGGACGACAAACCCCACTGCACAGACTGGGCGGGTAGTCTAAGCCTTAGCCTTCATTTGTTCGGCTAGCAAGTAGCACGGCTAGGCTGGATTAAAAAACCAGTCCATTGACAGCATCAAAATTTAAATCTGCATGATCAGTAAGACTGCATACGAGTTTGGGGTGCCATCTATTCAAGTCATGCAAGTTCTAAAGGAACTTCTAGTTTCTTGAAAGTAAAACTTACTGCAGTGCAATTTACCCCCAGAACTACCCCCCCCCTCAGTTCTTGGAGTCGGCGACTTACGAACTTACGATTTACACAGACATCGGGACAATTACTGTACATGATGCAGCCTACTATGCGTCCGGAAATTGGGCAATACCCTTACAACACTTGTGCACTTGCAGATTGCCCCCACTATGCCGTTACAAAGCTTCTACATACTACCTTTCATAGCAAAATGAAAACATTTCTTTATGGGCCTTGGTGAGTTACCCACCTGAGGATTAATTTCAACGGCTTTTGCTACCGATCATGGCCACAATATAGCTCAAGATTTGTCCTCTTCCGTTGCTTTTTGTCCGCTCCTCCAGCGACCGATATTTACACCGCCATGTTGATAACTAGTTCGCAATGATGCGGCGGCAGTAAAGAATCAGCTGGTGACAATACCAGTAATTTGTTATTCATGCAGGGGACCAACTGTGCCTTTTCACGTAGTTTGCATGCCGTCAATATGTTATTCATCCGCTTCTCAACGTAGCTAATAAAACAGTATTTTAGCTAGATTAATGACCCTATATGAAATATATATTAATTTGGAAACTATGTTCACGGCTAAGAGGATAACAATTATGTAACTGTTAATTTCATAGCCATTTAATATCACTGCGGCCGCTTATATTTATGTGATGTTTAAGAAAAAAGCTTCAACAGAGGGCGCCATCACGCAGGAGTGGTAACCACTGGGGAAAAAATAGGCGCGTCTGTCCAAAACATTTTTCAAATGAAATAGACACACATGTACTTGTGTGGAGCATTGATGAAACTTTTGAATTTCACTACACCGACATTTCAATATGTTTGGTGATAGGTCGATAATCCAGTATGGATCGCTCCTTCTTGCAGATTTATTATACAGGTATTATTGTTTCACACTGGCAGAGCACTTTCCGAGAAGCTTAACTTAAAGACAAAAGAGTTTGACAGTAGTGAAAAAGGTGCAGATAACAAGTAGATGACGAAGCATCACAAAGAGACAGTTGACGTTTGGTGGGATGTTCCATCAATATAGAATAGGTCCGATCCTTCCGTTGCCATTTTTTTCCTTTCCATTGCACGAATGTGAAACATTCACTGTTTGTTTTACCACTGTGACAATACCTTAAAAGATACCAGCATGTATCACCTAAATAAATATGAGCAGACTTCGACTTCACCTTTGAGTTTTTATTACTTCATGAAATCGTTGAACAGCACGTTCCATTTACCGTGGAATAGAGCTAATCAGATGATTGGATTAATACAAGCTTGTACAAAGCAAACATCGTACGTCTTGTCACAGTTTTTCATTAACAACCACCAACTACAGATGGTATTTGGTGCATGCTGAAAATTTATACTTATACAAAACCCTTTTGTTAATTAACACTCGTGTGTAAAAATATCTCTGACAATAACACTATTACATGATGTGAAAGATTACTGAAGTGAAATCATCTACTTTACTGAAACGTGCATTATTCTCCGGAAATTTTCGTTTCAAGCTTTCCATGGTTCATCTAGAGAGGAGTTTCAGGAGTATCACAGTTTTTGCCCTTTTAGAGAACAAGAAATGTTCAGTTTCCCCAATCCGTATCATGAATCCCAAATATTAGATTTTCTTCATTCATAAATATTTAGAAATTATATATACATAAATTCAAAATCTGATTCCAAAAGGTCATGAATAGTAAATGTTTCGATCATCTTTAAACAGTCTTGAATCAGGGAGTTGCCAATTACGTAGTGTCCAAAATATTACCACAAACATTTTTCTTGCTGTGTTTGTGCCATTTTTACATGCTGTGGTGTTCGGACTTATCGAATCCAGTAAGGATGGTGGAGATGAATGGGCCTACGTCTCTCGAATCTCGGCTCCCAGAAACACCGTATGGCCTTCAACAAATCTCGGCTCTGGGATCTGAACTGCCTGCTAGCGACGGCAAAGATGACGATATTGAGAGCAGAATTGACCACGACTAGATGGATGCACATTTCCAGCCAGACGTCGAGGAAGCTGAAAATGAAATGCTCCAAAGTCATGAAGATGATTACTGGAATCCAGGTCAGGGAGAACACGAGCATCTTTGCGAACATCATGCGTGCCGTATTGGAATCTGAAGTCGTTGGTGACGATGATGATGGTGAGGAACTTGATGACTTCAGCCCGGGTAGGGGATTTTCGCTTCGTCGATCCGTCCGCGACCAGGGGTCGTCAAATCGCACCTTCTTGGGCGGGGCCATTCCATCTCTCAGCTCATGACATGTCGCACTGCTAGTTTCTGAAACTAGATTAGCAGCCTTCGAACCGGAACTAGAACTGCAGCAAGGGGGTTCGTCTTGGGATGTTATTGCCACTTCCTGGTTGTAAGCGGAGGGCCGAAGTGGAAGTGCGGGTGGCGGGCTATCCATCAGGCTTGAGATTTGCGGCACGGTCAGCCTCACTGGAGTAACCCCGCTTATCAAGCTCAAACAAGATCGGTTGCTGCGCCCGTCATTGCCGACTCTCACGCGGTGCTTGATGGCTCGAGAAATGCCAACATACAGCCAGGCATTGACAGAGAAAGCCACAGCGCTCAGGCCAAGAAGAAAGTAAAACCTGAGATCGCTCAGCCATCGCAGTGAAGTTACCCGGCAAAAGTGGCTCTCCTCGACGAGTTCGTATGTGGCGAACAATGGCGTGGCGGTCGACAGTGCCAGCGCTGCCAGGAAACACAACGCCAGGAGGAATCTTGTCTTGGGGACAGTGACCCTGAGTTTGATGATGGGCCTACAAAAGACGGCATAGTGGTCGAGGGACACAGCCGTGAGCAAGAACATTGTCGTGCAGACGGAGAAGAAAAGGGACCCATCTGAGATGCGACAGCGCAGAGCGGCCAGTCCGTCTTGGAGACTAGAGTTGTGGGCCAGGGAGAGGTACAGGATGACCATGCGGCACAGACAAACAAGCAAGTCGGCAGCCAGCAGACCAACAAGCAACACATGGGAAGGACGGTGGGACTGCCTGTCGGAGAAAACACGAAGAACCACAAGGTTCCCCGGGAGGCCTATTGCGAACATTAACCCATCGAAGAACGGCAAAAGCCATCCGGCGAACGCGTGAACGGCGCCTGATTCGGCCATAATGCCAGAGCAGTGAAACGGTTGGATTGTTGTTAGTTGCTAGCGCTCAGTGGGGTGCTATGAAGAATCCTGCAATGCAGAAATAGACATAATTATGGTCGTGTTTGAGATGTAAGAAAAATATTACAAAATCCTCGAGCGAAAAAGGATTATAGAGTTATGGTTCACCAAAAGGCATTCTTTACTGGAACTTACTTCGACACAAGTGTTGAAGTCCAAAACAGAGCAAATTGTATAATCTCGTGACGTACCAGCTTCATGAACTTAGAGCCATGAATGTTTAAAACAACTTAACCCTAAGACTACAAAGTCTTAGGGTTAAGTTGCTACAAAGCCAGGAAAAGAACGCACAAGGGTACTTTTTACGGTTTCGTGAATAGTCGTAACTCGGGTTCATCTTTTAACGACGCAGCGTTCTATTATTTACCGGCTGACGGCCAGGTACCTTGGCCAGACTTCACCGTGATCCCGAGAATCTCACAACCATAGCAAAAAATGGACGGACTAAATTCACGTGACACTGTCGAACTTAAAGAAAAACTCCATCGCGTCATGCAGGCCTACCGTGCATGTTCTTGTTATTACATATTCGTGTTGTTACGTGCGCGATGTAACTTCAAGAAACTCATGCAAATAATTTTATATGCAGGATGAAAATCTGACTTTAGCGAAAAGTACACACATTACTCACGCGACGGTCAACTTCTGAAGGTTCTGCTATCAATTCACAGTTTTCGATCTTCCAGGTATGTGGGAAAAAACGTACCTCATTCATTTGCGGCGGCTTAGCAGGGCCTGTAAGCACATCCTCGCCGCAGATCTTGATGGTACGTTTAGAGACGGCGCGAGTCAAGCCGACAATAGCGATCTTGCATGCCGATTATTATTTCCAATTGTGTTAGGGGCCCGGCGAGATCTGCCTTCGTCACTATGACGACGAGGAATCTAATTATTTCCACTGGCTTCTCGCGGGACACTCATCAGTACGGGAGCGCGCCCGTGAGAGATTTCCTTGTCGAGAGGACGGACGGGGATGACGATGCAGCCTGAGTGAGTTGTTTGAAGACGAGGCTGACAAGACGACGGCCATGATAAATTTAAACACCATGCACATGATGTTTTTTTGTATTTAATAAAAAAAAACGTGTGAAACTGTATATATACAAGTAACCGAAATTTGGTCCGTTTCATTTCCTTCCCCTCACAGGCAAAATTTGTCACACAGTAATCGAAGTCTTTACCATCTATTTTGTACCGTATTCGGGGGGGGGGAAATAGCTTCTTATCAGCTCTAGTGTTGAATATTTTCCAAAGGTAACAAACACACTGTACCGTACGGCACGAACTGAAAAAAACAAACAGTGGAGGATAATGCCTCTAAATTTTGGCATTTTCTGCGTGTAGAGTTTGTAACATAAACTTCCACGCAAAGGCGACATTCACAACACAGCATCAATTCCCTGCGGCTATTCCTTAAGTCACGGGGAAATCGCCGCACACGGAACAATCTAAAAAAAACAGACTTTTTCACTTAAAAATTCATGATTTGCACGTATGCGCACAAATGGCCTTGGCGGCAAGAAGTGTGCGCTGTCCATTGAAAACGGATAGGGGTGCGATTTTGATCATTTTCTCTCGGGTTTTCTGGATTTGTTCATTTTCTTTCTTCAGAAAATCCCATTAAATAGTTTTTTTATATGAAACAGCACGAAAGGAGAACGGCTTAGATACAGCAATCTCGTGCGCCCAGGAAATATCACGACTGTAAAGTCTTTAACAGAGCACTAAAATCCCGCTTAGATTAGAAAATAACAGCAAAAACGATTTCATGGAATTTTCTAAAGATAAAACTGAACAAGGACAGAAAACCTGAGACAAAATCGCACCCCCCCCCTGTACGTTTGCAATGGCCCGTTCACACTTCTTACCGCCAAGGCCAATTGTGCGCATGCGTGCATAGTTATTAATTTATTAGTAAAAAGTCTTTAATGCCAAAGATCAATAACCTGCTTACTTCCAGCACATCATAATAATTCTCTATATACCGTCAAGTCATCCATTAGTATCGTATTTTACTGAAATTCAACGTCAAGATGTTTACTTATCAGTTCACAGGAAACCTCTTGAAAATGCTAGTAACCTTACAATTTCTGAATACCAAAATAAGATACGTATATAGGCAAGGACTCTCGCACAAGTAGAAACAACCCTTCGTGTCGATTGACCGTATAGTTTTCACAGTGACGTGTACTGGCACATGTAGATTTTCACAGCATGTGCACGTACATTATACATCGGCCACATTCATGTACATGAATTCACAGCACGTACGTTATCCATCGAATGTTTACGTTCGCTGATGAAAAAAAAATAGCAGTTCTATGCGGGCTTTTTTGTACGCGTTCCTAGTCATACCCGGAAATAATTGTGCACTCGATGTATTTCAAGCGTAAAACCGGCTGGGAAAATAACATACAAACAGTTCTAAAGTATCCACAATGTGAAGTAGGTTTCGAATTTACGGGGACAGAACACATACACACTCTATCTGCAATACTAAAGAGGCAATGGCGGGAACTGAAAATAAAAAAAAACTTTTACAGGCTTCTTTTTATTTTGTGCAATAAGACATATTTTTATTAGTACTGCTTAAATCACACAAAAGCCCATGGGTCTCGAGACACAAATGAAGTGAACTCTATCTTATCGATCTTACTGGTGTTGATAGTTGGAAATAAAATCTAGAGTACATTAAAATATTCTCATTCTAAGAAAAACACACACACACATAAAAGTCATGAGGAAATATAAAAAATATAGAGATTCTAGTCAGTCAAATACATTTTTGCTGATATGTACCCGAAGATAAAAACGGATTTAAACATTACAGATGGTACCCGAGAGTAGGAAATTCAAATATATACAATTTTCAGTAAAGCACTGATTCTCTTTTTCAAAGTTTACTCCTTTTTTCATCATCCATTACCATTCTACTCAGAAAATTAAAGATGTCCACCAAAAACACATCAAGAGAAACCCCT